GCAAAAGAAATCAGGTTTTCCTGTGTGGCATTTAAAAAAATTCCCTTAATGAGATTTACTCCCACAGAAATGATTGAAGTCAGGTGATGCTGGGGAAAAAAAACCTGGCTTAAAGACAATTTTACAAGCTCCTCACTTGGATGGTTCTGTTTGGTTTTTCCTTCTTACATATTCTTTATACTACTCCAGATATTTATAAATGCAATTGTTATTTTAAACAGTAATTTCAAAGATTCTAAGCTATTTAGATGTGCCATTACTACAATTTGGGTTTTTATTTCCTTATATTTGCTTTTTTTTTTTTTTCTTAAATAATTAGTAAACAGATCTTAGTTTTACTTAAAAAATATAAACATTAATTACATAATCCTGATAGCTTTTCATATAATGCCTAATTAAACAGTAAATATCATTCATTCAAATTTGGATTTAAAAAAATGTGCTGAATCACATTGCATTCATGAGATATTTTTTAAAAAAAGAATAAAAAAGACAGAATTGCAAAATAAAATACTACATTGAGAACAGGCAGTTTATATTTCATGTGCTGTATTTCAATTTTGCATTGCAAATTTGCTCTCTAATTTGTGATAAGCCACAGTGTACATAAAAAAAGAATAGACTTATTGAAATCCCGCTCCTACTGCTTGAAATGTCAGTTCTCACGCTATATTTGATTTAGACTTCTGTAAAAAAAAAAAAAAAAATACATGTTGATTTAATATTATGACAAATTAATTGAAAATATTGAGCATTCATTTGTATCATCGCTGGATCTTCAATGATCTATTTATCTATCTGTCTGTTCATGCTTTCGTGAACATTAATACCTATAGGAAATATAAATAAACTATAAAGAAGGTTACAGTGAAGTAAAACAAAGTCTTACACTAACATTAAGGGCTAAAACCAAGAACACTATTCAAATAGAATCCATAAGTCCAGGATATGGATCTGAATTTTCAACATTTAAATAAACGACCGCCTGTTGTCCAAAACCATTCAGCACATATAAAGTGAACCTATAAACAGCTACAATTGAGGTTTATAAACAGGGATCCATGGAGTCATTAGTCTCTTTGCGTCTATGTGCGCGTGCATGTGTGAAGGTGATCCTAGCTAATCCGGTTTTATAAACGTCTGACATAATCTGTGTTCCACTCTCAAAGTCCAGGACAGGGAGATGTGAGGAAAAGAGACCGAAAGAGAGGAAAAGAGAGGAGGGGAAGACAATGATGTGGGAGCTGACATGGCAGCAGAGAGATGATTGAAAGGCAGATGGGTTTAAAGAAGATGACAGAAACGAAGCATGTGAAGAGAGGTGGAGGGAAAGGAGGAGGGTGGGGCGAGGAAGAAATAAGTGAGACAAAGATGAAGGAGGACAGAACTGGGCGGCTGGTGGAAAATTCCTCTAGGATTTAGTGAAACAGGACTGTTAGTGGTGGTTTGGTTATCATCATGAGCAAAGGGGTCATAGGTAAGATGGTTTGTAGGTAGGCTTGTGAAGAAGGCAAAAAGGCTGGTATCTCTTTAAAGAATGGGTGTTTGTCGAAAACAGACACTGAAAAAATTAAGGCCAGAGAAAGATTTTGATTTTTCAAATGAAAAATTAGCTATTTTTCTCCCACAGATAAATCTGTAATCACACATTAATATTCTGAGATGTATTTCACCATCTTTTCCTCATTTTGTCCTAAACCTCATGTCGATTCTTAGAATACTATTACACAGACTAACACAGGTTTACAATACATATCTGAAAATTTTCTTTTACCTGTGCCTTCAGAAATCACTTCATTGGTGAAAAGAGTCCACCAGTATGTAGGTTCATCTTAAAAATAAAGCAATTTAAATGTTTTCTTTTAGAAAGCCTTAGCAAACAAACAGCATCATAAAGATAGAGAAACATTCCCAGTTTAAAACAGGGCTAGTTCTGACATTAAATAGTTCAAAGTTCAGCCTAACCTTTTAGCAAAAGTCCATTCAAGTGCGACCTGGTGGCCATTTGTGGCCCACGTAGGATTTTAGGTGCTTCTTTATCAAGAACTGCTAAATTCAGGTTGGCCACTGATGCTGATCCCCTAACAATTGCTGAAAAAAAGGTGCAAGACATCATTTTTTATCTACTATTCACAGTAATGATTAATTTTCTTTAGTCATGACAACAACTAAGACGATTTTACAGGAGTGGCAGCCTAGTGGTTAGGGCATAGAGCTTGGAATCCTGAGGTTGTGAGTTCGAAAACCCACTCCAACAGACATCCTCTCTGAGCGAGACTGATAACCCCACACTGCTCCCCGGAGGCTCCATGATGGCAGCCCACTGCTCCTTAAGGGGATGGGTTAGATGCAGAGGTAAATTTCTCCATTGTGAGATCAATAAAGTTAAATTATTATTATTTTGGAGACTTCTTTTGTTTCTTAGGATGCTCTTCACAAAAATTAATGAACTGATTCACATATCTGCACAGCCCTGAAGCCTATTTGAACATATAACCTGTAAATTATATACAAGTCTTCTCCCTTGTAGCTCCAGATGTCTATCTAGTTTGAATTTATGACCTGTCCTATTTCTATCGTCCCTGTTACCTCCTCTTTCTGATTCCCTTCATCCTCTTAAATCACCTCAGCCACTGCAGCTAATATCTGCCTTATACCTCATATCAGCTGAAAAACACTCACAAAATAAGTCAGAACATCATGTTACTCATGAAAAGTTGTTATTGATCTGAGCTAGATCATCCCTATTTACCTTACATTATAGGAAGAAAGCATTTTGTTGAAAATCCATCAGTGTTCAGGAAGTAGTAATTTTATAAACAGACATATGAATGAGACTGTGATAAAAACGAATGCAAAGAGCTTTTCAAATTGCCTTTGAAAGTTTGAGGGGGCATTACAAAGCAGACATTTATTCTCCTTATTGTCAAAAAGCAAATATAGCGTGTAATAATGGCCATTAAACCCAGAAATACTATTATGATGTCTGCTCTTAAACCTTTCATTCATAGCAATAAAACTCCTTAAACTCTGCATCAAGCTTTTAAAGCAGGAATTCTAATTTAACATTCTTCCCAAATCTGCTTCTGTGATCTACTTTCTTCTTGTTTAAACCAATCTTTTGAAGTGTTTATAAAAATAACGTCAACCTGTTCCGTTATTACTAAAAGTGACCAATATATTTATGATATCTGATTAAAATCTCCCTCTAATGAAGTAAGCTCATCTTTTGGAAAAGGTTCAGTTTTTAGTCTGTTTTCAAGATAGATTTTTTCATTTCTCTATGTGATTGTAAAACTTTATTACCTTTGGCAAGAAAGAATGAATTCAGTCCCATATGACGGTTTGAGTGTTTTTATTATTACAAAAAATAAAAAAATAAAAAAACTACAAGCAATAATTTCATAGACCTTGGTGGAGAGGTGCATGGAGTGATGAGCTAGAAATCCGATGGTTTTGTTGTTCTCACTGTAAGAACTGAATGTAATAAAGGATGAATCCTTCCTGCAACAATTGCCTCCAAAAAAAACAGCTTAATGTGATCTAAGATGTTTCATGGATGCAAGTATCTGTACAAAAGGCATTAGGAAACACAAAACAGTTTGCACCATTTGTGGCTTTTAAGAGCCACTCTCCTCATTATCTGTTGCAATCTATGCCCTGATTGCTTTCACATGTTCTTTGCTGAGTTTTTTTCTCTCGATGAGACGCCCTCAGTGCAGCTGTTTTCTGAATTTGTTAGCCTGTTTTATTGCTTGTTTGAAAGAATACAGAAAAACTGACATCAAATTTTTTCTGAGAACGCCAGTGAAAAACTGTAATAGAGGCAGAAGTTGTATGGAAAAAAACATAACTTAATATAATAACTAAATATCTTAAATAGTTTTATTTAGTAAGTAGTTTTGTTGTTGGTGTAAAGAAGGAATATGTAGGAAATCTCTGCAAATTATGTACAGAGGAGAATGTATATTTCCATAGGTCTGCACCTCTCTGTTTATTTCAAATATAAAAACAGAGTCTAGACATTTCAAATAAAGATGTGTTGGTCTGGTTTATTTAAATAAGAATAAACAGGTCATCATTTGGGGAGATATTTGGGTGGGGTTTATCCTAGACAGGTGGCTTGTCCATCACAGCACCAGTAAGATAATGATCTAATAAAATGGTGGAAACTGAAATATTGAGAAAAAATAGATTATGCAACTGCAAAAGCATAAATGAATTGTTTCTTATTTCTAACCTTTTATGCCAGCAGTTATGGAGGCCAACATTTCCACGTGTCTGAATGAGTTTTTCTCTAATTTATTTCTGTGTTGCGACAAAATGCTTAAAGTGGTTTTCATCAAATACCCCAGCGTTACATTGCTTTGTAAATGAGGTCCTCAGGATGAAGAGAAAAGTGCTTTTGGATGTTATTATAACTTAGCAGATTAGCAGAAAGGCTTTTCACTAAGCATGGGCAGTCTAGAAAACCTATTAAAAGGTGCCTCGGCTTTTTTATCCCGGATCCTTTCATCACTTTTCTCTTATTATATTTTACCAGCCACCCTGAAATCATGTTTCAGTCCAGACGACACATTTTACTCAATCTGTTCTGTGTTGTGGCCATTTTGCTGACTGTCTCTGCTTATAGTGTGCCACTTATTCTGAGGAAATATCTGCTCACTTCACACAATGCTAGTTTTATTGTCAGTATGGGTCAAGTGTTTTTTTCTGGCCCTGCACACTGGGACATATTTGCAGCCCAGCATATTTAGTCATCGTGAGAGGTAACCTGTCGTGTGGTGAGAGGAAGCAACCCCAACCTGATTTTGGAAACTAGATTGTGAGCATGTAAGAAATAATGTCAGCTTCCTGTGTTCCCTGGAGTGCTGGATGAACTGATAACTGCATGTGAGTCATTTGTAGGTGTGTGAAGGGAGTACAGTAATCAGCCTAAGGAGTGATGGGAACAGTGACAGCTTTGTGGCAGAGCTGAAGTGGAGCCATGTGCACCACGGGGGAACCGGCCCTTTAATGCCCATCGGCCAATCAGACAGGGGGATGCTGGGAGCGTCCTTGGGAATGACCTTGCAGGGGGGCCAAGGGATGGAGAGAGGCGAGAAGACTCAGAGGTGTTGAGTAAGAGAGGGAACGAAGGGCTGGAACACTGAGTACTGGAAGGTGGGAGGAAATCTGAGAGAAAAAATAAAAAACGTAGCAAGATATCAGCTCTATTCATTTGAACCACAAAAGCAATTTACTACTACATGAAACAGACACAGAGGTGGAATAATGAGGAGATGCAGACAGGCAGCAGACAGATGAATGAGAGATATTTCGTTTTAGGAGCATAAGAGGATTTAAAGTTCAGCCAGTTCTGCCAAACTCCACCTCTCTCTCTCTCTCTCTCTTTCTCTTTCCGACTCAGTGACACACATGCAGACGTCACCCAGATTAAATTGACAGCATTTCACTTTCCCGCATTGCATAAGAAGCGCTTTGCAAAGGATGAAACAGCAGAGTAAGAGTCAAAACGTAAAAATTAAGATGCAGACTTAATTTATGGGGAAGATTAAGCAAAGAAAGCAAGAAAGAAGATTAAGTTCTTTCCCTGTTTGTTAAAGAAAAGGTCACAGAAAGGAAAATGTTGACCCAACAACAGGAAGATCTCTTGTATGAAGTTTAAAAAACTGAGATTTGCAGGATTAAACAAACTGCAGTAACCAGTCTATTAACTGATCAGGTAGCACTTCCACCAAAGTTATTATGTAAATGCTAAAGAGAGAAGTATTTTTTATTCTCTGTTTTTATTTTCTCTTTGTAGTAGATTAATCTGGTCTGGCACTCTAACTGTGATATGACCCTGAAGGGAGGCATCAGCTTGGCTGCTGCAGTCAACATCTTTATTTAGGTGATAGTGGTGGGCCTGTTTTTCAATGTTTAATCCTGTCTCTCCTGGACATAGCTATGGGCTCAGCTTTTACGGTGTCTATATGTGTTCTTTTAATATTGTTTTTACATGAAATTCAGATCAGAGCTTGTCTGCTTAACTGTTTCTCTCCTAGACAGTCCATTTATTTATAAATCTGTGCTTCTATGTTTCTTTTGTTTGTTTGTTTCTATCTTCTCTAATTCCTATACGGCCTCGACAGAATGCCATTTAGGAATATAGTTATCTTCCTCTTTAAAAAGAGTTTTTCCTCTCCACTATCCTAACATGCATGCTCTGTGTTAGGGACTGCTGCACAGTCAACTAGAAAATGCTGTTGCCATGTGCTCATTCAGGTGGAGCGAATCCTGCTAAGTCAATGACTCGATACAATCATCTGGTTTTCCTTAAAAAGACAACTTGAACCATATGACTGTAAGATTTGATTTAATTTTCTCATTAAAGTGTCATTAGATGACATGTGAATTGGTGCTATATAAATAAACTGAATTGAATTACAATAAAATATTCATCTTTTAATTTGCCCTTAGCTTAGATGTTAGCAATTGAAGCACAATGTGCTTGTTATTAGGGTTAATTTTCTGTTACAGACCTCTTCCTTTCAGAATCAGGGCAGCTCAGTGTGGTTAAGCATGTGGCTGTTCTTGCTGATTTTTAGGCAAGGGAGGCATGTGAGGTGTTATGGGCCTTACTAATAACTAGGATGGAGAGATAGGTGCCCTCTGCAGCTGTCTGACACATACCATTGCAGCTGGATCCTGCAGCACTTGCTTTCTTTACTCGACATGTGAACTACCAAGGGAATTTTCTAGATCCTCAAAAAATATCTGTCATTTGGTTTTTGGAGGAGTTCCACCTTGGTGGATGTGGACCAGAACACAAATGCATTGTGGATAAACAGAAAAGATTTTAAGGAACATAACCATTTGTCATCTCCTGAACTTTCTTTACCTATAACCTTTATTTTTATTGAAGTGCAGTATGATTACCCCTTTAGACGAATAATTAGCATTTTGGGTAAATGTCAACAGAAGTATCAAACTTATACTTTAGAAAATATTAAACAGTAAAGTGTCTGTAAGAGCAAGTCCTAAAGATAATGGTGAATGTAAATGGAGAAGTGTTGGCCAAGAGGTTAGAGCAGAGTGCTTGTGCTCGGGGAAAGTTGCAACTAACAGCCTCCACTCTGGGTTCTTGAGCAAGACCCTTAACCTCACTGCTCCCCAAGGTCCACACAATGGCCGCCCAGTGCTTCCCAAGGGGATGGGTTAAATGCAGAGATTGAGTTTCTCCATTATGAGATCAATAAAGGGATTTATAAACTGCCTTTCTCCTGCCAAGATTTTAGTGGGCAGCTGTAAAGAACAACACCAATACAGACTTCCAGGTATTCTTTACCTAAATCAATCCATTTCTAGCAATGGACTATTTATCTTTCTAGGTACTTTTCTGGTAGAATGGCATGAAAAAATATAAATGTGTCCTGATGTTGCCTATTCTTGTCACAGTGAATCTTTTGACCCCTGAACTAAATTTGATCCCAACTTAAGCAGCTTCCCTACCCTGTATGTCAGGAGCCACTCTTAAGCCAGAGAGTTAAAGGCTTCAGCCGGGATGAGAGCAGTTTCTGCATCACTGATGTCTTCATCAGATCTGTCTGCGTCCTCTCGTTGATATTTGACATCATCATACTCCTCAGAAACATGCTAGTCTGAATGACTAGCTTTCTTCCCTTTGCCTCCTTTTTCACCAAAAATATGATTCATAGCTTCAATTTTGTGAATGTTCTTTTTGCATGACGATGTGAATTCTTCAAGTGACTCTAAACTGAATTTTGCATGCATGTCAAGCATATCTGGGGATGTTGTTTTTTTCACAAATAAGGGAAAAATAATCCCTGACATAGGATTCAGGTTTGAATAAAAAGAATGATGTCAGATAGTTGAGGGCATTAGTGAAGTAAAAGCATTTCAGTCTGGGAAGAAGTTATTGTTTTAAAACCGCTAATAATAATAAAAGGCTCGCAACTGGACCCAACCCCACAAAGGTCAGATTTTAACCAGTGTTTTAGGATTAAATAAAGAGGGAGGTTTTGGGCATTTGTGGTTCATGAAGAGCTGATTAATTCAAATCCTTGAAGTACTTTTATCTTGTGTTTTGATTAATTTTAAAACCGAGGGGTCAATGGCCACCTCAACATCTAAGGAAGGCTAGAAAAGCTGCAGAGACCTGCTGCTCTGGGGGAAGTATCTGTTAGCATGTGGTGAGCTTCCTAAATCTCTCCTCTGTAGAGGAGTCGCAAAATGAAAGCCTTTGGTTAAAAGAAAACCATTAGAAGTCAGTCACAAACCATCAGAGGAAACGCATCAAACAGGTGTCAGATGGTTGTGGCAGAATCATGCTGTGGGTATTATATCTAAGGTTTTTATATTACCACAGATTTGTGTCTGTTTTATTTCTTATGTGTTTTGACAAATGACTCCGAGTGTATTAAATGGCCTCCAGCTGGTAAACGTTGTTTATAATAACATCGTTTTCTTAAAATAGACCATGAGTAGATTATTAGAAATTAATCTAAATGATCTCAAATGTTCCTAAGGAGGGTGGTACAAAAACTTGCATTGTCTCTAAGAGCAGAACTGCAAAGGTACCATGAAATGGCTCGACCCCAAAAACAAGTGCTGCGGGCCGACCAGATGCATTGTCTAATTTAACCTATTCTTCCATTTTTCGAAGTCAGAAGGTAAAATATTTAGAGGAACACTGAGCAGGAGCTTCTTTAGGGTGATCCAGACCAGGCATGTAGCATATCCTGCCTTTGTCCATTAATCTATGTTCATTCAGTTAGATCAACATATAGGAATACATTTAAGGCAGTAGAAGCGTGCCACAATATATTTCAATATGTTGTTACTTGTCAGTGTTTTTGTGCCTGGAACATGCGACCCAGTTTGTCTGTAACTGGGTCCAGCTCCAGCTGTACCCAATAAGTCAGGGTGATAGAGTACCACTGTAACAGTGTGATAGTCAGGCAACCTCAGCAATATTTTACCTCAAATGAATTCCCACATCGCCCTTGCAACTCCTCCTCTATGCAGTCTATTTACTCAAGCACAGCTAAAATGTATGGGCTTGCAGAAACAAAATATAATGCCTCTGTACTAAGAGTGCTAATTTTAGAAGATTATTTTTCTTGTTTGTGTCAAGTGCAGCTTCTGTATGCTTGTGTGTGTGTTTCTATATCATCTGGCCTCTAGGCCTGTCCACTGGATGTGCATTCATGCCCTTATCTTGAGCACTGCTCTGGCAGAAAGGGGCTGCTCTGTGCTTGTTACTGACTCTCCCAGACCTGCTTCCTCTGGTTGGACTAGATGTCTTTTTTAACGGGTTCCTCACTGTCATGGTTTTGGTTCTGTTCAAGTTTTATCTCTGAGTTCATTTGTCTTATTTCCATTTTTGTGTTCTAGTTATTTTTATTGTATTTGAGTTCTTAGATATTTATTGTTTGCCCTCTTGTGTCAGTCTCCTTTTCCCTAGCTCCCTTGCTGCCTCTGTTTACACCTGCTCCCAATCTGCTAATTAGCCCTGTCTTTATTTCTCTCTGCCATATACTCTCCTCCTGTTCAGTCACTCTTTGCTGGTTTGTCACCCTTCTTGTTGTGAGTATTCCTGGTTTTCAGCATTTTTTGAATTGTGTGGATTTATGTTTTTGGATTTTTTTCTTATTTTACCCTTTTTGTTATTAAAATCTGCATGTAACCACCCTCACCTTTTTTGTCTGCATTGGGGTCCTCCTTCAAACCTCCACCCCATTGTGACATTCACTGCATCTTGTGTTCCCTCTTTTGTTACAGTTAGAGGCTAAAAGGGTATTAGATGTTGTCTGTTATAAATAAGCATTATCATTACACATATGCATCTGGTTAAAAGTTAAGCTCCTAGGGAATGGTTAGAAACAATAGATCTTAGTTTTTTTTTTTTTTTTATTAAATTAACCTATATTAAAGGAGGTCATTCCTGGATTCCTTGTTATTCATGGGTTACCCATGCTTAAAAGAACATATGATGCAAAATGATAGATGGTATATTTCAATTTGACAATCTCTCTGCTGGAAAGTGTCTAGTGTATGGGGTGAGCAGTGATTCAGGGTCCCAAAGTGAATTCTATTCTGTGAGCATGTGTAAGATCTTTAATAACATTCAGAGAGCTAGTACTTCATGAACCTTATTTACAGTATCGTGT